CTGGTGGGACCACAAAACAGATGAATATATAGAACATGAAGAAGCTAAAGTGCTCTGGGACTTTAAAATTCAAACAGACAAGCACCTGCCACACAACACCCAGACTTAACAATTGTTGATAAGAAAGACAAAAAGGTCTGGGTAGTGGACATTGCAATACCTGGAGACAGCAGAAGAGAAGAGAAAGAGCAGGAGAAAATCACAAAATATAAAGACCTGCAAATAGAAATAGAATGACTATGGCAAAAGAAAGCAAAGATAATACCAATAGTTATAGGCATCTTACATGCAATCCCAAAACATCTGGAGCACCACTTGAAGACCATCGGCATTGACAAAATCACCATCACTCAATTGCAAAATGTAGCTTTACTCTTACATGCAATCCCAAAACATCTGGAGCACCACTTGAAGACCATCGGCATTGACAAAATCACCATCACTCAATTGCAAAATGTAGCTTTACTTGGAACACATTATATCCTGCAATATTACCTTTAACACCATCAAACAACCACGTCTGCCTGCCCCAGGTCCTTGGGAAGGTCTTGATAGGTGATAAAAATGCCAAATCCAGTCTAAATCTGGCTGACTGTGCAACCAATAATAATAATGGCCCAAAATAAAAAACCATTTATGAACTCTGACTCTAGGGCACTGGAGAATACCACTCATTCCAAACTACTTCCTTACAGGTTTTTCCTGCTGCAATTCAGATCACAGGTATTGGATGGAGGTGGAACCACTTCAGCAGCTCTGGAACTTGCTGTAAGGTAAGAGGCAGATGATGACTCTTTATGTGATGAAAAGTTTCCAGTTTAATGAGTAGATCTCTGGGAAATTTCTCATTCTATGTCAGGCACAATTCAAGATTTCCATAGTTGAGAAAAGCAACAGGGTAGAGAGAACTTAGATTTTTTTTTTTAAATCCCTCAGAGTTTCATTATCCTTGTTTATTCTAGATTTGTGGGTGCGATAGAAATGTACAATACAGCACATCTTGTTCCATTTTGTGTTACTGTGCAGATATACCCTGCAGTAAATACATTAGCCAGATTTATGCATTTGTATTTTGCCTGTCCTCTAAGGCTGGCTGGGGAATTCTGGGAGTTGAAATCCACCCATCTTAAAGTTACTAAGGTTGAGAAACCCTGCTCTAAGGCATCAAGGATGATACATATAGAAGGAGGTTGCCTCATTTTAGCTTCATAACATCTGTGAGAGTGATTAGGCTGAGGGAGAACAATTGCCTGGAGGTCATGGATTATCCATTACACCTGAGTGGAAATTAGACTCAGGTCTTTCTGGGCTAAAGCCAACTTTTCCTTTCCTACTGTACTACATAATGTCTGTAGTTCTCAGTTGGAAGTTGTTCAAGCAACAAGAACATTCTGCTCCTTTCTTGTTTCTTAAATGTCAAGAGGTTAGATGGGGGAATATAACTTCTAGAAAAGAAAAAAAGTCCTGAACAAAACTCCACAAGAACATATCCTCTGACGTTGGGCTCTTTTTTCCAATTGCCTGCAACTGCTGTGATTATGTCAATAGTGAAGGAAGGCAGCCTCCTGATCCCCATCAGTGCTCTCTTCTCTTTTTCAACACTAGGGAAAATATGATTTAGAAGCCTTGACTTAAATTAAATCCTAATTTAGGAGTGAACAACTTCTATTCATGAGGAAGTTGTGGGGCACACACATAATCCACATACATTCAGCCCCCTTCCTCTCCATCGTTTCCCACAAAAATCTACTTTTGGTTACTGTTCTCTTCAAATTGTCTTAATTTCAGCAGTATATGTTAAGGGAGGATATCATTTTTATTTGCTTTTGTTAAAGAGCTGAAGGATGAAATCCATAATAAAGTCATAGTGCTGGAAAGGGCCATCTTTGTGATCAAGTCCAATCCTCAGCTCAGCAGAAGAATCCAAACTAGAGCATCCTCAACAGGTGGTTGTCCACCCTTTACTTGAGTATCTAGTGAGGGGAGCCTGATGCTCTCCTCAGTAATTGGATCCACTGCTAAACTTCTCTTTCTGTTAGGAAAGTTTGTTAACTTTCAGCCAGAATCTGCAACTTTCTGCAACTGTTTCCTACATTCCTACTCTAATCCAAATCTGTACAGTACATTCTCCACTCTGCTCCACTGTCAGGATCAGTTGAAATTGGAAAAAATGGTACCTAGAAATCGTATACTAATCTGCTTCTGTCTTGAAATCTTTCAGAACCAGTCCCCATCTTCATTGCTTCAAATCTCCGAGATTAAGAGGCACCCACTTAAATAGTCTTGTATATTTGAAGTTAATTTCTGTGCTGCTTTTGCCTACAGATGTTTCTCTCCATTCTACTGTCAGGACTGGCCCTCCTGGGATCAGCTGCTTGTTTTATTTTGTCTGGTTCAGGCTTGACTGAGGGGCCACTCTGTCTCTATAATTCCACCCTCAATCAGAACAAGGTGCAACAGTGGGGTTATCCATTTCTTGAAATGGACCATCGTGTCTTGAACAATGGGTAAGATGACTGGGGTTCATGGGCCAGCTTATACTATTGTTTAGCATACATTGCTTTGAGATACACTGTTTTGCTTAAATAATTAAAACATACAAATAGCCTTCAAGTAGGTTCAGAAAACCATTCCTTGTAAAAGTGTGCTTCATGTGATGACACTTTGGTGTACAGTTGCTTGTAGAGACAGAATGACTACATAAGAACTCATAAGTGTTTTCAGATGAATTCTTTATATGGAGTTTCGCATTAGAAATGGATTGTGCTTTTTACTGAAAATGAAATGACAAATATATAAACAGAAGATCTGCAGGGAACAGCCAACTCCAACCTAGCACTATCCTGAGGCTTTGGAATTTAGTATTCCCAAATATCCTAGCCAGCATGATATTCTGGAAGTTGTAGTCATGATACAACTGGAGGGTACAAATGGGAAGAAGGCTGAGGTGGAGGATCAGTTGAACTGGGATATGGACAAAAGAAAAAGGTTTTAAGAGCATTTAAAAGCACCTTAAATGAAAAGATTATGTATTCCAGTGAATCAGGGCTACCACTGTGGTTATTACATTTGGTTAAAATTGATTGTCCCAAGCCTACTAAGTCAATAACACAGAGATATCTATGGACAATGCAATTAGGAAGGAACAGATTAGATACCATGCTTGACAAATAGAAGCAGGCAAGGTGCTGGATATTCAATAGGCCAGTTTATCTATGAAGCTTTATTTAATACCAGTGGTACCTCGGGTTACGAATTTAATCCGTTCCATGACTCTGGTCGCAACCCAAATTGTTCGCAACCCGAAGCAAATTTTCCCATAATGGTTCAATGTAATTACCATTAATCCGTTCCGGCATCCACGGACCACGCGTCAAGGGTGGAAAAACGGCCGCGGACCACGCAGCAGGGCGGAAAAACGGCCGCGGACCACGTGGCAGGGCGGGAAAACAGCCGTGGACCACGCGGCAGGGCGGGAAAACAGCCGCGGGCTGCGCGGCAGGGCGGGAAAACAGCCGCGGACTACGTGACACGTGCGGGAAAATGGCTGCGGACCACGTGGCACGGGCGGACAATGGCCGTGGATCTGGTTCGTACCCCGAGGCGGAGTTCGCAAACTGAGGTAAATTTTTGCGGCCAGAGCTGGTCGCAACCTGAAAAGTTCGTAAGCAGAGGTGTTCGCAACCCGAGGTACCACTGTATTTTAAAACTGTATACAGAAAAAATACCTCTTAATGAGAACTCTCCCCATAACTCTGATTTTCTTTATTTTTTTCCTACAACTTACTCAAAATCTGTTCTTTTAAGGGCTCAGAATTACTTGTATGATCCTTCCCTTTGGAATTCAGTTTGCATCAAGCCACAGAACGTTGTTGTCTGGAATATCTATTTCTTCTCTGCCCTCCTAGTCATCAGCATGTTTGAAATGATCCTGGCTGCTCTCCAAATTATCAATGGCTGTTTTGGATGTGTCTGTGGCTTATGTGTACAGAAAAAATAGGTAACACGGATTCAGAAGTGTTTCAACTCTCAGTTCATTTCTACAGATCCGATTGCAAAGATACATGCTAACTCAATTTGCAGCTATATCTTTTGCCACTGCAACCTGTGTAGCTGGTTCTTGCGTTGTCGTAGAAGAACAGAGATGCAGTTGGCCCAACAGTAACCAGCCATCATCAACCCTCCAGTGGAAGGTGCATCTTACTGTCTCCCATAGAATTAACCTATAACAGTCACTGTCAGGGTATAGAGGCTGAAACTGCTGTCACTACAGACATTCTCACAGTAGAGACAGGAAGCCTGAATAGAAAAGGCTCACTCCAAATTCAGGTTATATCAGGTCCACTGACTTTGGGGGTTTACTTTCTATTTCATTGGTAGTCCCCAATCCTTAGAAGGCCAAAACCTGGGGAACAACTTTGGTCTGAATTCATGTCATTTTTGCCCAAACTAGACTATGGCTTGGCAAATGAAAAGAAGTGCCACTAAGACCATTAATCTGAGAAAGGATAGGAGTTTCATTTTTTTAAGCAGGAATGGGCAACATGGAATCCTCTAGCTATTTCAAGTAATAAATTCCATAAACCCAACCTGGAATAGCCAATGTCAGACATTGTGGGGGATATAGTCCAAAATATGTTTTATAACCAAACACAGCAAAACTTTTCTCAGGAAAAAGTGAGGATTAGGCAGACATGATGCAAAAAAGGAACTGTATCTATGCCTTTTATATGAGCATCCTCAGCCTAAACTGCAAAACTCAGAAAAGAGATGCCCCATTAACATTCCTTCCTTTCCCCTAAGGAAAAGGTCAGTATGGTACAAATACATTAAACTTTCATGTCTGATATATGAGTATGACCTTCGTGTGTGTGTGTGTGTGCGCGCGCGTGCATTTTGGATATGAGATATTTATTTTCAACCATATCAAGGCACATAAATAAAATTGCCAGAGTTCAATCCAAGCACTACA